TCACCTCAGAGCTCCAAGCTCCACACGATTATTAAGTTCATTACTGAGGACCAATGCCACACCAATATAAAACACTGTCTCCTACTACAGCCACCAGAATTAAAAGGGAATTATTCAGCCCATCTGGAAGTAAATCCATGAATTAAATCTTCATTTCCACACAGCTGCCAGCAAAGCAAACCCCTTCACCTGCATCATGAAGAGCAGTTCTCCCCTGGAGATCCACGTTCTCTGTTGGACAGTTGTACTGTTAAAACAAATAATCCCAGTTAGCAATCACAATCCAGACTGCATTTCCAACATCAGGCGTTTGAAGTTTAAATTAAAGCAATAAAACGTGATTTAAGTAAAAAAATATGCACAGGAATTGCACAATTCATTAGATTTTTCACAGATAATGAGCCTTTATATCTGCATGGAGACATGCATCAAATAAAAGTTTAAAAGAACCCATTAAAAATAAAATAAAAAAAAATAACACAAAGCTAAGACAACCCTCCAACATTGTTTAATTAATGAGTTTGTGGTTATAAATGCCCAGCTTTTGAAGCAAACACCACTCTGGAGCAGGCAGTGGTACAGTTTCCAAACTGCATTCACACAGGGAACAGCAGCCTTTAAAAGACACTCAGCTCCATTTTCAAGAATTACAAATTACAATTTGATTTGTTAATCTGTGAAAAGATTTTTTTTTAAAGTTTATTTTCTTTATTTTAGCCCTCTTTCAATCTCAACCTGATATTTAACATGAAAAGGTCTTTTCCCCACAACTCTTTATTTTTAAAAAACAACCTGATTGGTTAAGAAAGAAATCACACATCCCAGTTTTGAGTCTTTAAATCCACTTTTTACCCCTCAGTACAAGAGCTTTATTCTCAATACCTGCAAGAGCTTCTGCAAGCACAAAGCATGGCCATACTTGGCAGCCAAATGCAGGGCATTCCTGCCTAAAAAAAAAAAAAAAAAAACAGCAGTCAGGGTTTGGGCTGAGGGAATTTTTTTAATAAATATCCCCAGCATTTGAGACACAACAGTTGACCTGTCTGTGCTGTGACATCTCC